GGGGGGGGTGGTTTAAGGGGTGGTCCTGGAGCCTCCGGCCTCTCACGCTGCACCGGGTCACGGCGTTCGCTGTGCATTTGGGGTAGCTCCTGACTTCGGAATGACGTGGAAGTGGGGAGGAGGCTTCTTAGCTTCCTCTTGGTAATACACACACAAAATTGGAAACTTGTCGTGGAACCCAGATGCCGCTCAGGAACCACAACAATGGGCAATGATCAACATTGCAGGGCATCTGAAGCTACCGCCAAGGAGGCGAAAGGAAGTCATTTTGCCGACGCTTCCGCCACGCAGGTGGCAGCGAGCCGATTATCGAGGCCTGAAAACGTTCCCTGCTTTCTATTAAATCAATAAAAGATTCTCTTTTTTTCAGTTGCAACAGAGAGCTGCGGAGAAACAAAAGAGAACTTGGCAAGAAACAGGGAACCTTTGACCCAGACAGAGGGATGTGGACCCAAGGGGACACCTGTGTTACCTACGGGGGCCCAGCTCCCTGTACTCACCGTGTACATGAGCCGCCACTCTGGGGTCCTGAGAAGACGATTTGAAGGAGTAAACAAAGTTACTGGAAACCTTCTCCTACCGTAGCTTATGAGGTGTACCGCATGTGTCCTCTCTGTCCAAAATGCAGCCCATGGGACCGCTCCGTGGGTCCCAAGGACATTTCCCGCTCCTGGAGAGTCCACGTGAGATATGTCATTCAAATGGAACCACGTCAGGGACAGAAATGTACCTGAGTGATGCTCTGTATGTTTCCTCCCTGGGCTGAGGCATTGCCCTGCAGGAGAGTGGCAGCCGTAACAGCCGGCAACTCTTATTAGAGAGAATATTCCCCATCGGGGAACTCCCTCTGAGTTAGTGACTGAGGGACTCATTTCACGGGTTGATCCTAAAATGCCTGTGTAACCTTTGGCCTCCTCTGCAGCACGGTCACAGTGCCCCTGCCCCACCCCCCGTCCTCTGGACACGGGGACGCACCAAGGGGACAATGAAAAGCCAATAGGGCAAAATGTCAGGGGCTTTTCCTCTGCCCTGGACAAGCGCTGTCCCTGCAGCGCAGCCCAAGCGCCGCTCCCTGTGGTCACCACGGACTCTCTCCTCCGGGAACAGGCCCTGGCCGCCCCGGGCATGTGGGCGAAGGGCCTGGGAACCCATTTTGCTGAAAGCAGACATTCGACATCACTGTCGGGGGCTGACTTACCAGCTTAAACAGGCTGACAAATTAGTAAACAATTGATGTCATACTGCCGTCGTAGGACATGCAGATTTCAAGAATTATGGCTCACACCCAGGTGGTTAGGTGTGTTGGAAGAGACATCAAATAAGGACTCTCTCCGGCTAACTCACCCACGTGCAGCCAAAGTCTAAGGACTTAACTCACGGCACCAATTTCTCATTGAAAAAAGGCTCTGACTGTGCAGGGACACCTGCCCCGTCCCTGACACTCGTCTCCCTCTGCAGCGGACAAAAAGGCCTTTTCAAGGACGAGCAGCCGCCGACCACGAGGGCTGAGGGCCGTCCCAGGACAGCGGCAGGGCCTGCGGGCTCCCACACACTGAGGCTGCTGCGGACGGAATGCGCAGAGGGTGACTTTTAGGTTGTTATTTCCTCCTCATGGCTTCCCATGGAAACGGGACCTGTCTCCCCAGACCCCTCCCTTAGTAGACTGAAAAACTTAACATGGGTCCTTGCTAATCTCTCCCACCTAGTAGACAATGTTATTCTAATTATCACCTATGACAAGGAAATTAATACTTGGTTGGCTACACAATGGGCTTCTCCTGCTATCGACATGCACTTGGGTACATTTTTTTATCTTCTATCTATGATAAAGGGCACGCCTCGGGGGAAATGCTTCCAGGAACGCGTCCTGGGGAATCCCCTGGCAGACTCGTCCGCGGATCCCTCTAGGTCCCAGTTGTGGAGCTGCAGCCGCGGATGATAAAGATCTAACAGAACAGCCGGGTGTGGTGGGGACAGGCCTGCAGCGACCTGCCCTCCCGGTCTTGTCAGTGTCCCGTGTCCTCAGCCTCACCAGCCAAGTGTGGCTGGGTGTCTGTAGCACAAGAAAAAAATTCAGTGGGTCCCCATTTCAAAAATGATTACTCGGTGGGCAGATATGCCTGTGACTATCCCACTCTTGCGTCGTGGACGCTGGTGGGACGCTCTAGGGACACTCAGACCCCAGCCCATCGGGAGTGACCTCACCCAATCACCTGCGGGTGGGAAAGTGAACATTCCTGGGTCCGTTCAGTTCACCCCAACTGCTCCCTGGCCATAGCCACCCAATGGCCACACCGTCCCTGGAGGGTCCGAGCACCCAGGCCTCAGTGAGAAGGAAAACGGGGACGGTGGGGGACTAGGCGCCTTGGTGTTGTGGGACAAGCTGGGCTTGCAGTTAAGGAAGAACATGGTTCATTAGAAAGAGACTGTATCTGAAACGGTCACCCAGAGGGAACGCTGTCCCAGGAAGCGGGAAGGGGGCGGGAAGCAGCCCGGAAAGGCGATGAGGCCGCAGCTCCGCGGGAGGAACAGGCTCGGCAGACGACGGGAACGCGCGCACGAGCCCAGCAGCGGGGACCCCCTGGACCCGACTCCGCAGGGCCCAGTGTCTGCACCGGTGCCGATGGAGCCTGAGGCCACTGTGACACCGTGGCCACCGGAACGGGGACAGAAGCCCAGGCCAGACGTTTGTGGGACTCACAGGGTGGCCCTCGGTTTTGGAAAACTTTGGGTCAGAAATGCAGGATACAGCATAGTGTCATTAAAAAAAATGTTTATAATATTTGTAGAGAGGGGAAGGGAAGGAGACAGGGAGAGAAACATCAATGTGTGGTTTCTCGAGCGCCCCCTACTGGCCACAACCCAGGCTTGTGCCCTGACTGGGAATCCAAGTGGTGAACCTTTGGTTCCTAGGCCTGTGCTCAATCCACTGACACCAGCCAGGGCCGGGATCAAAGCTTTAAATGTCATTTTCGTACCATCGCCTGCAAATCTGTGTCTCCAGCCCTGACATTTCCCCGAACAGTCCCCAGACTCATCTGTCCAACCTGACACGTCACTGCTGTTTCTAACACACATCCCACCGTGACCTTCTATTCGGCTGGACGCTTCCCACCCCTCCCCCACACAGCCTCTTGCCAGTGTCTTCCCCATCTCTGCTGAGAGAACCCCGCCTTTCTGCTGCCACAGTACACATTGGGGTGTCCCCCTTCACTTCTTCCCACACCCCAGGTTTAATGATTAGGAAACGCTGTGAAACGCATCTTCCGCACGCGTTCCGCACCCAGTCCCTTCCCGCTGTTCCCACCGCCCACAGCCCGGCAGCGCCCCCAGCGGCTGCAGCCGGGAACGCAGGGAGGCTTCTCACACCTTTCCTCCCGCCTCGCGGGTCCCTTGTCCTCCCGATTCTGGGCTCAGCCCAGCAGCCAGGCGGGCCCTGTGGCCCCAGGGCTCTCTCCTGGGGAGGACCCCTCAAGGGAAACTGCTAAAGGACATCGGCGCCTTGAACAGGACCTTCCAGGGCTCGGCACCCGCAGACTGAGGACAGGGTCTGCGGGGGGTTGAGGACAGTGGGCGCCGGAGCAGCTCCTGCTGTAGGCAGGTGTCCCCACCCTCTGAGGGGTCGGCGCTCTGAGCCCCACAGGGACACCCCGAGGGCTGCAGGCGGGGGGCCTGGATGCTCGGGGAAACTCCGGGGGAACAAAATGGCAACTGTTTAGAATCACGGGACTAAACCAGTCACGGCCACAGGTTCCTAAGCGTTGCATTTGGATGTGCGGGAAGAAACCCTGAGCTGCGCAGGAGCACATGCGGGCACAGGGGACATCCATGTGGAGCCATGTGGACCCCTTGTCACATGGCACACATTCCGTCCCACCCAGGTGGCTCCACACCTCACTGTAAGTTTGGGAACCTAAAGTTTCTTAGAATGGCTTGATAGATGGAGTGACGGTGTAGAGTCACAGCTATAGGAAACCATACACCTTCGGGCCTTTAATAGAAATCCTGTCTGTTTTATTTATATATACAACTATATTACAATGTACATAAATATAAATACATACATACAAATAAAAAGTTAAACGATGCTCCAGCCGCAGTCCGGGACCCTTAGAGCCCTCACCGAGCACAGCCCTGGACCCAACAAGGCCCAGGGTGTCGCTCAAGTCCCTGGGATCCCAGGTCCTGGTGGGACAGGGTTCTCCTGCAGTGGCAAGGACAAGGGACCAAGGAGCAAGACAAGGGACCCCGCCGAGGAACGGCCGCGTCCAAGCCCACAACGCACGGAGCCTGACGGGGCGGGAGCCCGGCGATGCCACTGCCCCCCCGCGCCCCCCGCACGGCCCCCCGCCCGCGCATTCCGGCAGGACCTCGGGTGGGAAGTGCAGGGATCTCCTCCTTCCTTCAACCCACTGACCCTTCGCAGCCAGAACTGCAAAACCTCATTCATTCCCAGGTCTGGTTTCCAACTGGAATACAGGACATGAAGCCTCAATGGAACAGGAAGTGAGCACCGTCGTGGAGACGGGCTCACCCCAACAGTGAGAGGACAGGCCAGTCCCCAGGGGAGAGGACGCAGGTCGCGGTGGGGAGGGTGCCCTGGGGGCCAGCTCCTCACTGATGCTGTTACGAACACAGGCACGTTCCAGTGTGTTCCAGAAACAGCAGTAATGGACCCTTAAAGGCCCAAGGGGAGGCTGCAGTGACCGTTTTAGGACCAAGTCCCCTACAAAGCAGCTGTGTCACACTAGAAGAGAAAGTTGTCACGAACAAATTCAGGTCAGTCTCAAAACAAGTGGCATTCTCCTACAGCCACCGCACGCTAAGAACATCTCACTGTGAGATGCACAAAAACCTACCTGTGCCCCTCGGTCCGAGTGCCCCCAGCCTGCCCTCCGGGTCTCGCCATGAGCAGCTGTGAGAGGCACCTCAGACGTCTGGGCACTGTCGCCGCCTGGGGAAGGACACAGCAGCAGAATCACGGGGTGGGGAGCCCCCTGCTAGACTCCAGCGCACACGCTCCCCAGGGTCCCAGAAGTCCCCTCCCAACACCCAGACTTACAGGCAGCCTGAGCGCGGCTCTCCCCGCCTCTGCCTGTGGGAAGCAAACGCTCTGTGAGGAGTCGGGGGGGAGGCTGGGTCCCGTGACCCTAAAGGAGGCCCATACTTGAAACACAGGGAAGGTTCCAGAACTGTGACTCAACACCCAGGGTGGGATGAGGAAATAAGGGGAGAGTCATTGTGTGGTAACTGGACCACCTGTCCGTCTGGACATTTGTCCTCAGCAGGGACCTTCCACCCTGACCTGTGACGGCTGGGAATCCGTACCCATCACTAGAGTCATAAGGTGATGAATTGTCCCTCACTTTCCCACGGGCCTCACTGAAGGGTCAGTGTTGGCAAACAGGCCCCCGATGGGCAACACCCGTGTGGGTACGATGCCCACTCACGAGGCGGAGCACACGGCCACCTGGGGCTGACCCCCAGGGGGACAGGGACCTCGGCCCCACCCCTGCCCACCTGAGCGCTTCCTCCTCCATATCACAGCCACAGCGACCGCAGCAACAAGGAGACCCAGGGCAGCAGCGATGCCCACGAAGGGGACGGTGGTCCCAGGAGGGGGGTCTGCGAGGGGAGGCGAGAGGCCACCCTCAGGCCCGAGTCCTGACCCCGCTCAGGGACGCCCTGAGGAGAGGCTCTGTGCCCACGCCCCCCCCTCACCCCATCGCAGGGTCAGGGGCTCGGGCAGCCCCGCGTGCCCCACGCGGCACGTGTAGCTCTGCTCCTGTCCAGGGGGCACGGCCACGGCCGCCCACGTCTGGAAGGTCCCGTCCCCCGCAGGCCTGGTCTCCACAGTCTCCGTGTCCTGGGGCAGGTCCTCCCCGTCACGCTGCCAGGTCAGGGTGATGTCCGCGGGGTAGAAGCCCCGGGCCCAGCACCTGAGGGTCGCTTCACGGTCAGAGATGCCGTGGCGGGTCACGTGTGTCTTTGGAGGGTCTGAGGGGAGGGTGAGAAAATGCAGGAACTTTGCCTCCTCATGGGACACTCAGCAGCGTACAAGCCAGACTCCAGCCAGGACAGAGCCGTCTGGAATATGCTTCCATTTCTTGGAAAGTTCCCGATTCAGGGGGAGATCCTAGAGGAGGAATCTCCAGGTTTTAAGGGGAGACACAGACTCAGGTGGAAGCTGTTTTTCTCACAAAAGCCGCAGTCAGGCCTCCAGAGATGTCTCAGCCCGGGAACCAGGGAGCGTGTCCCGTGCACCAGGTGGCTGCAGGGTGTGAGGGAAACGCTGTGGCTGTTTCAGGGAGAGGCTGGGTCCCTTATACTCCTTAGAGACAGCTGGGTCCCTGGGGAGTCACAGAAGGGAACCTGGGGGACTGATTCCACCTCGGAGCAGGAGGGGGATTCCGACACTGACCACCTCCCTCCTCTCCCTGTAGGAGCCGCCCCAGCCCGCAGACCCCTCCCCGGGGAGGCCCGCCCTTGGTACCAGCTCGGAGCAGGGTCTCCTTCCCCTTCTCCAGGAGCCGGAGGAGCCGGTGCACACACGTGTCCTCCAGGAAGAACCTCCTGACGTCCTCATCGGGGACAAGCAGCATCTTGTGCCACGTGCCATGGACCGCGGTCCAGGAGCGCAGGTCCTCGTTCAGGAAGAGGAGGTCGGTGCCGTCGTAGGCGAACTGACTGAATCCGCCAAGGAAGTCTCCCACGGGCCCCACGATGCAGCCGGTCAATTCCTGGAAGGTGTGAGACCCTGACCCCGCCCCGGGGGTCAGCCCCGCCCACTCAGCTGGGTCGCAGCCTCCTGGTAACACTGGGACCCGGGGACTCAGGGCGACCCAGGCTCGTCCGTGGGGGTGGGGGTCGTGCCCGAGCCCCGGGGGCGCGCGGCTCACCGTCCTCGCTCTGGTTGTAGATGGCGAGCAGCGTGTTCAGGTTCGCCCGGGAGCTCTGCTCGTTGTGCCTGATTTCCCGCGCCTGCTCCTCCCAAAAGTCTGTACCCTCCGGCCCCACCCACGGGCGCTCCAGCCACGGCACCCGCGGCTCCAGCCTCCGACCTGCGGCGTCGCTGTAGAACCGCAGGATCTCCGTGTCGTCCACAGAAAGGACGCCGAGGTACCGGTACTTCCCGCGGCCCGGCCCGCACAGGGCGGCGCTCAAGTATCTCAGGGTGTGGGATCCTGCGGGCGGGGAGGACGGGCACCCTGGGTCCGCGGAGGGCCGGGTGGGGCGGGGCCCGGGTGACGGAGGACGGGGCGGTGGGTGAGAGGCGGGGGGAGGGGAAGGGGCAGGGCTGAGGCGGGAGTCGCGGGTCTGCAGTCCGGGCGGGTTGTGGGGGGTCCGGGGGTCCCCTTGCCGGTGCCCCGCGGACTCCGTTCCTCTGGATCCCGCACTCACCGGCCCCGGTCACGTTCGGGGACAGGACCCCCGAGAGCAGCAGGAGCGCAGTCTGGGGAGCCATGACTCACCTCCAGAGTCTATGGAGGCGGAATTCCGGTCTCCGGACCCCGGAGGGCGCTGATTGGCTTCTCTCGAGAGTGAAGGGGGGTTAAGGGGGGAAGCAGGTCCAGACGCTCCGCCTGCGCCTGCGCGGGGAAGGCTGGCCCCCCGGCGGCTTCAGCGGCAGCCGGGCTCAGGGAGCGGACTGAAGAGAGAGGTGAGGCCGCTCATGTCACTCTTTCTGGTCCGCCTGCCGGTGACTCTTCGCTGCGCGCGCATCCCGCTCAGCAGGCCTCTGTCTGTCCGCTGCCTCCGTAAGAAGCAGCCTGCTCTCCGCATGACGGTCCTTTCACGGGGCGGCTGCCTTAAGCCCGCACTGTCTCCCTCCGCACAGGACGGGGACGCCCGCAGCTGTGCGTTGCTCACGGACCACCTGCTGGTTCCTAGGAAGGATTTGCAGGAAACTCCTATCGATGATGCGGATTGAACTGGGTTCCCAGAGGGACCTTATCTGAGCCACGAACGGGGACGTGACCGAGCTGGATGTGCAGTCACTTCCACGGTGGACGTAATGGAAAGCTGTCGCCCACGGGAATAAAGTCTGCCCGGCCAGCGGAACGAACTGCTCTCACTCGGGCTTGTGGACGTGTCACACCGAGATCTAGCGGCCAACGTTTGCTGAGAGTCGCTGTGCACCTGGTGGAGCTCAGGGCTGTGCAATGTATGGAAGCGGGGCAGGGAGGGCTCTTACCTCCCTCGGGGCGCCCACGAAGACACGGAAACTGGAGGCGGATGATTAGATGCCACGCAGGAACCCAAGCAACGGGTGATTATCCAGCTCCAGGGCATTCCGAGGCTGCTTGCAAGGAGGTGAAAGGAAGTCATTTAGCGGACTGTGTGCTATGCGGTTGGGAATGAGCAGGTTATCCAGGCCTGATAACGTTCCCCGCTTCCTAGTAAATCAATAAATGATTATCTTTTCAGTTTCAACAGACAGCTGTGCAGAAACAAAAGAGAACAAGGCAACAAACAGGGGGAACCTTTGACCCAGACAGATGGGGCTCGGACCAAGAGGTGGACAGCGCACGTCCTCTCTGTCCAAAACACAGCCCAGGGAACCGCTCCGTGGATCTCAAGGACATTTCCCGCTCCCCCAGTCTATTTCCTCCAAATGCCACCTCGGCAGGGACACAAACACACACAGTGATGATGTGCACGTTTCCTCCCTGGGCTGAGGCGTTGCCTTGCAGGAGGGCGACAGCCTTCATGGGGGCAACTCTTGTTAGAGAGGATATTCCCCAACGGGGAACTCCCGCTGAGTCGGGGACTGAGGGACGCATTTCACGGGTCGAGTCATAAATCCGTCTGTAACCCTGGGCCTCCTCTGCAGCACCGTCACTGTGCCCCTCACCCCCGTCCTCTGGACAGGGGGACGCACCAAGGGGACAATGAAAGCCAACTGGGCAAAGCTTCAGGAGCCTTTGCTCTGCCCTGGACAAGCGCTGTGCCTGCAGCGCAGCCCGAGCGCCGCTCCCTGTGGGCACCACGGACTCTCTCCTCCGGGAACAGGCCCTGGCCGCCCCGGGCATGTGGGCCAAGGGGCCTGGGAACCCGTCCTGCTGAAAGGGGACATTCGACATCACTGTCGGGGGCTCATTAACCAGCTTAAACAAACTGATACATTAGTAACTGGTACAGGACACCGGGCTCCCGGGAGACGCAGGTTCCAAAGGTCATGGCTCACAGCCGGGAGGTTTGTTCTGTTGGAAGAGCCATCACATAGGACTCTCTCCAGCCTCAGTAGAGGGACCTCTCCAGGTGCGACTGACTATCCCACGTGCAGCCAAACTCAAAGAGGCAACTCCTGGGCTCCTGGTTCTCATTTTGAAGAGGCTCTGACTGTGCAGGGACACCTGCCCCGTCCCTGACACTCACCTCCCTCTACAGTGGAGACGAAGGCCTTTTCAGGGACGAGTAGCCGACGATGGCGAGGGCAGACGGCCGTCCCAGGACAGCGGCAGGGCCTGCGGGCTCCCACACTGAGGCTGCTGCGGACGGAATGCGCAGAAGGTGATTTTTATGTTGTTATTTCCTCCTCATGGCTTCCCAATGGAAACAGGACCTGCCTCCCAGGCCCGTTCCTATATTAGAGAAGAAAAGCTTACGTGGGCCCTTGCTAATCTCTCCCACCTACTAGACACTGATATCCTAATGATCAGTTATGATAATGATGTCAGTTCCTTGTTGGATGTACAATGGGCTTCTACCTCTATCGATACGCGCTTTGGTACATTTTATGGTATATCTATGATCAAGGACCCACCCTGGGGAAATGCCTCCAAGAACAGGTCCCTGAGGATCCCCTGCCAGACGCCTCTGTGGACCCCTAGGTGTGTCTGTGGAGCTGCAGCCACGGATGATGAAGGGCTAAGAAAACACCCGCATGTGGTGGGGACAGGCCTGCAGCGACCTGCCCTGTCTGTCACAGCGTGTCCAGTCCTCGGACGCACCATCCACGAGCCTGTGGCTGGATGTCTGTGGCACATGAGAAAAAAATCAGTGGGTCCCCATGTCAAAACTTCTTACTCAGTGGGCAGACATGTCTGTGACTCCCCCATTCTTGCGTCCTTGACGCTGGTGGGAAGGTCTATGGACACTCAGACCCCAGCCCATCGGGGGTGACCTCACCCATTCACCTACGGATGGGAAAGTGAACATTCCTGGGTCCGTTCAGTCTCCCCAACTGCTCCCTGGCCATGGCCACCCAATGGCCACACCGTCCCTGGGAGGGGTGGGTCCCACCAGATGGGCCTGTAAAATAAATAAACAGGGGCCCTGGCTGGTGTAGCTCAGTGGATTGAGCATTGGCCTGTGGTCCAAGGGTCTCTGGTTCGATTCCCAGTGCAGGGCACTTGCCTGGGTTGCAGACCATGTCCCCAGCAGGAGGCGAGCGAAATACAACCACAAAGTGATATTTCTCTCCCTTTCTCCATCTCTTCTGCTCTCTAAAAAGAAATAATAAGATCTTCAAAGAAAACAAAAAAAGAAATACTTGGAGGATTAGGGGCTGGCCCTGGTGTTCTGGGACAAGCGGAACTTGCAGTTAACAAAGAACATCATTCGTTAGACACAGACTCTGTATCTGAAACGGTCACCCAGAGGGAACGCTGTCCCAGGAAGCGGGAAGGGGGCGGGAAGCAGCCCGGAAAGGCGATGAGGCCGCAGCTCCGCGGACGGAACAGGCTCGGCAGACGACGGGAACGCGCGCACGAGCCCAGCAGCGGGGACCCCCTGGACCCGACTGCGCAGGGCCCAGCGTCTGTGCCGGTGCAGATGGAGGCTGAAGCCGCTGTGACACCATGGCCACCAGAACGGGGACAGAAGCCCAGGCCAGATGTTTGTGGGAGTCCTGGGTTTTGGAAAATTTTCGATGGGAAATGCAGGCTACAAGGCTGAGTGTTAACAGCGCAGGCAGGTGGGTGAGTCCTGAGCTCGAACCCTCAGCAGTGCCACTGGCTGTCACAGGGGCGTCCTCAGCGTCACGGGACGCTTCCAACGGGAAGGAGGCGGGCCCTGCGTGAAATAGAAACAGCAGGGACCCTCTCGCTGTCTAATTTGAAAATGGAAAACGTGAATGGTCCCGCCCCCGTCCCTATGGGATTCTGCACTCACCCAATCCGGGCCTGTTGGAGTAGAGAAAAATTCTGTTAAACTAAATCATTTTTATATTAAGAAACCCAAGTTTACGTTAAATACCACTGGAATTGGTGCAATAGTGAAATTATACACAAAATAACTTTGTCTGAGGGCAATAATACCTATGGCAATATCGATACTGAAAGTCCAACATCTTGGGAAGCTGAACTTCATCCTCTCCATGAGGTCATTTCTATGGGAACTCAGTGGCCGGAAGAAAAAGCAAGAGCTTCTGGAGAATGAAAGAGTAGAACATCGAAACTTACGTGGCCAAACATAACACAAGATACAAAGGACGAAAACTACCATCAGCCTGAAAACAGCTTACGATGCCGCAGGCGGAGGGTCCGCGTTTGGCTGGGACGCGCGTTCCCCTCAGACACCTCTGTGTTGACTGTCACATGCTCTCTGTCCCTCCTCGGAGGTCCGGGTTCCCTGCTGTTGCTCCTGCCCCTGAGTGTGAATGCGACACTCGATGCAGAAAAACAAAAGTTACGGCAGGCAGGGAAACCCGGGCCATGGCAGCTCCAAAGTTAGACATGACCCAGAATGTTTTCAACAGGGACGGTTTGGGTCTGATGCCTCCCCCTGCACCTGCCTGTTCCGAGTAACCGCAATTGGCCCCGAAGGCCATCTGGGGTTAGGGTCCTGCCGCGGTCCCCGCTCGGCCCAGCTCAGCAAGACAGACGCTGCTGCTGCCGCTGCCTCCGAGGACTGAGGCCTCCCAGCGCCGCGGGGCCTAGCCCTCCAAGCAAAGGGCGGTCAGCAGTGCTTCCTGTGACTGATTTACGACCGACTGGGATGTTTGAAAAGCAACGGGCCGCTTATTAAGCTGACAAGCTCAGGGGAGGCCTGCGTGGCAGCGTGCACCCTCAGAGGCCAACAGCAGCCACACTGTCATATCATGTGACCCGGGCTGGTCTCGCTGTGGGTTCCCACCCACAGCTCTCGCTGCTCCCCCCCTCAGGTCCCTTCTGTGGCTTTTCATGGAGTGAGCCCTCCACATCCCCCCAGAAATCCCTTTCTGGGTAAAGGAGAAATGTCGGCTCCATTATTCGCTCCAGGAATCACTCAGGGGGATGATTGCAGAGAGCGAGCATCTGGAGATTTTCCTTCTGCTGAACTGAGAGCCACTTTCTACATCTTCCGCTTGAGTTTATCACATGGTAGAGAAAACGGCACTTCACTTTCACTCTCATATGACAATATTTAAACTACACTTCTTGCCCAGATTAAAGAAACCACATTGAAATGTGGACTTACGTCCTTCCCCCAGCCCGGGACCTACCTCACGGAATTGTGTGTGTGGGTCCGAACCGGGCTGACGCTCGGATCGCTTGTGGGCTTG